TTCTTTTTTTTTTTTAATTAATTTATTTATTGTGCGAGAGAGAGAGAGAGAGAATGAATCCCGAGCAGGCTCCATGCTGTCAGCTGCAGAGCCCAGTTCGGGGCGTGATCTCACAAACCATGAGATCCTGACCTGAGCTGAAATCAAGAGTCAGAGCTTAACTGAGTGCGCCACGCAGGTGCTCCAAGATGGGTTGTATTCTTAGTCCCATTTTACAAATGGGGAAATGAGGCCTGGTTGAAGTAACTTGTTCCAGAGTGCACACAGGAAGTAGGTGGGAGAGAGGAGATCAGACCCCCGGGGAAGCCTAACTCCGGGGCCTGCCTGAGCTGCTAACCTGTTTGCAGCCCTGCCCCACTGGGCTTGGAAATGGAAACTTTACCCAGCAGGAGTCGGACTCAAGCAAGGGAAGACTATTTACTTCACTTCCCAACCCAAATGACCTTCCAGTTCAACTAATTGAAGATAATGATAATAATTGTCCTAATTTGCCCTCCAGTGACTGCCAGGATAATGGAGATGATTTAGAATCAAAAGCTGAAGAAAGGAACAGAGGTCATTTCATCCAACTCCCTCATTTCTGAGACAGGAAAATTGAGGGGCTTGGCCAAACTCCCACAGCTGGTTAGGAAGGACCTGGGCTACAACCCATATATTCTCCCTCCCAGCCCAGAACTTCTTCTACTGCATCCTGCTCTGCTGGGCCTCAGTGCCAGTACTGGCCTGGAAGCCAGGAGTCCTCGCTATCTGTGCTCCCGGAAGGCCACTATGGGGCCGATGTCAGACTCACAGAGGAGCGTTTCTTCCCCCTGGGCTTGCTGGTTGAAACATCAAGGTCTCCCCCACCCAAACCTCCTTATCAGGAACTGGGATGGGCTCTTAATCTGTAGCTCCCAGGCCACGTCTACACTCTCTGGACAGCGTGTTATCATCCAGAAATAGCTGACGGAGCCCAGGTCTCCCCGGCTGGCGCAGTGTACCAAGTGGGGAAGCTGGGAGCAGAATGGACCAACCACCCAATGCCCGGTCCCGGGACACGTGAAAACCACCAGCTGCTACTCAAACTGTTCCTGCCTACAGCCCCTGTACCCCCAGCTGGCCAAGGGGTAGTTCCCACCACTACTGAAATTGGCCAGATCTAAAGTAAGCAACACAGAGCACTCCCATGTAAATTGAGGGACTGTTTTTCTACCAGGAGCCGAGAACAATCCCCAAATCAATCTGCTATGCGGCCGTCTCCCCCGCTCGGAGATAGAGGTGGGTGACGATGGCCCCTTGGCCTCCGATAACCCTCCCTTTCAGGCTTTTTACTGAACAATATGAAAACCAAGGAGTGGAGCCTCTTAGGAAATAAGAAGGTAGGTGCTGGTAAGAATAGCACACCAGGAAGGGCAAAAATTCAACCCTAACTCCATCCTTACATCCCAAAAGGCAGGTCCTTACAAATGAGTGCCTAGGACATTTGTGCTAGAAGCTACAAATGAAAACGGGGCCATTCCTTCAAATGACCTCTTGACACAAGTGTCCCTGTAACTAATTCTGTTTGTGATACAGATGAGCCGGCTTCCCGCAACCCCATTTCCGGCCTCCGCTACCCTCCCAAACGCACCGCACACAGCCTCTCTGGCCTACCGACCACCTAGGACGCCCAGGTCAAACCGCATGTTTGTTCATGAGGGTCATGGAGGCATGAAATGAAGCGTGTACATTGGTGAGGGGTGGTTCTGTTCACGAATCAATGTGTTTAGAATGTGGTTGAAGTGCAGCCCACCTCTGGCCAAGAAGAAAACTAGCCCAGGTCAGTGATGTACTTGTGACCTCAGCGGAAATTGCTGAGACAGCAGGTGGGGGGGTGGGGTGCGGAAGCCTGTGTCAAAACCTCATGGACCAAACCCAAGAGTCGGGGATGATAAAGATTGTTCTTATTTCCTCACATATATCCTATCCATACAAAGGGAGTAATAAATTGGTAACCTTTGGCTCTCAAATCTTTGCTGTTGGGAGTAGCTGCTCTTTAGCTAACTGGTAGCCTTGGCTGTGCATTATACATTCAGTTCCAGGGCCCAGATCCTGAGGCCCAACTGCTCTTGTCTAATAAGAACAGTGGGTCCTGGGGCACCTGGGTCCTTCGTCAAATGTCCGATTTCTTGATTTGGGCTCAAGTCATGATCTCGCGGCTGGTGAGGTAGAGCCCCGCGTCAGGCTCTGGGCTGACAGCTCAGAGTCTGGAGCCTGCTTCGGATTCTGTGTCTCCCTCTCTCTACACCTCCCCTGCTCGCACTCTGTCTCTCTCTCAAAAATAAACTTAAAAAAAAAAAAAATGGTGGGTACCAAATGGCAGTCCCAGAGATGACAAGAGAGCCTGTGCCAGGAACTTTCCAACAATTCTTCCCCGGCCTGGCAAGGGGTTCCATGCCCCCTTCTCACCATCTCAGTCTGAGATTCAGGCTGTGAGCCTTAATCATTGGTCATGTGTTCAATGCCTCGCACTGACTGACGGTACATGCTTGCTGAACAAACAAACAAGGGAACACAGCTGAGGTCTAGGGAGGGCAGGATGCGTGAGACCTGGCTAAAGAGTGCTCAGTCTAGAACCCCATCCCGTCCAGCATTTTCACGGGGAAGTGAGAATGCGCACTAAGGAATGAGGTAAGGAATACTTCTTGGCTCTCTGTCACATAACGAGATTTTTCTTTTACACCAGCCACCTGCTATAGGTCTTCTGAGTGTAACTGAAGAGAAATACCATGAGACACCAAGAAAAGGATTTGCATCTGAAGAAAACGCTTAGTGAGTTGAGGATGTTGGCTTCTCTACACCACACGGCTTCATCTGCTACATTTTTATTAAAGTAACCAAAAAAAAAAAAAAAAAAAAGAAAGAAAAAAGAAGCCCGTACATTTGTCCATAAAGCTGTACATCCTTCCATATAAAAACACTATTATACAATTAGTAACCTTTGTCTTTTCTGTCAGAATAGCTTACCAACGTGCTACTATTATTTCTTTGTACTTAATAGGAGAGACAGGCCTGCTCAACAGTCCAGCTCTGGGTGTTTTGCTGTTTTTTAAAGTGAACATTAAAAAAAAAAAAAATAAGAAAGAGAGAGAGAGAGAGAGAGAGAGAGAAGAGAGAAAAGATTAAGCAGGAGACCATGAGGCTGCTTCTTTTTTAAAAAGGCAGGGATCTGTTTGCAGACAGGATGCAACAATGCCACGTCCAGTGATTCACAGCTTTGTCTCAACCCACAGGCCAGAAAATGAGCTCTTGGGTCTGTGGGTCTGAAGTTAGCTTTAAAGCAATAAAGGCTGGAAGCAGGGTCTGGGAAGGCAGCTTGGGGTCTAGAGTTGAAAAGGAGGCAGGACTGGCAGGACTGGGTAGGGACAGTGTTTGGTAAATAGCACCTTTGAATCAGAAGTGAGTGGTTAAGAAATTCAGGGAAGGGGACTGGCTGTGGAGTGGGGGACCCTCGGGCAGGGAAGAAAGTTTCCTCACTAAGGGGCGACAGCCTGGTGGGCTGGACAGGAGGGTAGCCAGGTAGACTGGACGCTCTAGCTACGTCCTTCTAAAGTGATTTTGAGATTAGGAAAATCAGAGCCTTCGGAGGACCCCCTCACTAATGTCACTGAAAAACTGAAGGAAGGCGATTTCTTCCCAGTATAGATTTCCACTGGCTCCGACCCAGCACGGTAAATATTGCACAAGTCTACAGACAAATCTGGGTTGTACTGAGAGACAGCAACTTCCCCACAGGTGCTCTGAGCACCAGGGAGAAAATAATGCCCAGGATTTTGGCTTTTAGTGTCAGCCCTACAAGAATACCAAGTAGTCCTGCAGAACTCGGGGAGTTCTCCCATTCAGCCAAGGAATACCTGCGAGGCCGACCAGCCAGCCAGAGTCCCGAGGACGGAGGGATAGTTCCCGAAGCCCTCCAGGGCACCAGGAGGTTCTGAGAGCTGGGTCTCCTTCAGACTCTCCTGGGACCCAGGAGGCCATATTGCACAATGAGTCGAGAGCTCTTGTTCTGGAAAACTGGGTAGCTCCATGACCCAACCAGAAGGGGAGAAGAACGGGGGAGTCAGGGAGGAGTGTTGTGCTTTTAAAAAGAAGGCAGTAGTAAAGAACCTAGAGTTCCCTGTAGCTTTTGAGCCAGCTCTTGAAGGGATAGTGGCGGCAGCAGCAGCAGCAGCATCAGGACGTTCCTGTGATTCCAGAAAGAAGGGTTTTGGCCAAAAAACCCCAAAAAACAAACAAACAAAAACAAAACAAAAAAACACATCCCCAGTGGATACTCTTTGGGTCCCAAAATTCCATTGCAAGTCACCCCCAACTTAATCGCCACGTATACTCACACACGGAGCAGCACACAGCAAAGCAAAGGTTTCGTGCAGAGTTCTCTTCAGCCCCAACCCCGATAACCTCTAACTCCTGCCTTACTCCCCCGACCCCCACAAAACAAAAAGCTTTTGTTTCCTGGCTGGGAAGCAACATCTACCAGGCCCCTGAGCATAGAATCAGAAACAAGTCATGATTTCAAGAAAAGCTGCTTAGGGCAGAAGCAATCAGGAGAGGACTTTTCACTCTCTGCCCTGGATCTCATCAGAAACATGAAAGACGATTAGGCAACATAGTATAACTTAAGTCCAGGCTTGAATGCCCCTGAGTAAGAGAGGGGCCAGGGGATACAGGTGTCCCGTTCCGGAGAGGGAGAGGTTTGAGCTCAGCCCCTCTTTCTCCCCGCAAGGCAGATCCTGACCTCTCTTTCACAGTTGCTAACCTTGCTTGCTCTCTCCCCCATCTTCCTGGGGTGCCAGCCAAGCTTCTCCCACCTCCCCTCAGCCAGCGCCCCCCCCCCCCCCACTTCCGTACTCCCCCCTCCCGTAGGCAGACACACTGGTTCCCGGACTCAAGCGCACAACAGTTCTCTCCGAAGGCACCTGGGGAGGCCACTTCCAAGCAGCTCCCTTTAAGGATTTTTCTTTAAAAAAAATCTTTTGGTTTTTTTTTTTCTCCCCTTTTCTTAAAAAAAAATAATATATATATGTATATATATATAAATAGCTCTTCATTTAAAATACAGTTCCCCAGGTTGAGGTATGCAGCGGCCTGTTGTCACGACAGAATGAGTACAGTAGAGTGCCTGGTGGGGCTGGCGGGGGATCTAACTGGAGACCGCCATCACGTAGTTCTTCGAGGGGCTGCTCCGGCCCAGCATCATTTGGTTCTTGCAGGTGAGGAGCCCATAGGAGGCTGCCACCGGGGCCTCCTCGTACAAGACGCAGATGGAGCCATCCTCCCCAATGCGGTAGGACACCTCGTAGGGGTCCACCCACAGGGTCAGCTCACTGGGCAGCAGCTGGTGCAGCTGGGGCTGGCTGAGTCCGATCTGGCTGGCCACCTTGCTGATGATGGGATCCATCTTGTGGTTGATTCGGATGCAGCGGTAGCCGGAGCCCTTGGACGGCTTCTCAGGAAACCAGTGGTGTTTGTAGTGCTCTGTGGAGACGGAACAAGAGGGAGATGCCCTGGTTAGAGCAGCTGGGCTGTGGGGGACGGGGATGAAGGGACAGGAGGAGAGGCAGGAACCCAGAGATTTTAAGTAAGCAATGTAGTCTCATGAGTTCCAGGACCTTCCTGAGACCCTCCTGTCGCTGTAGCAGAGATAATTGTATGGAATCTGGAACCCCTCCCCCCCCCACTAGGAGGAGGATGTGTCTGTGTGTTGGGAGGGAGTCCCATAGCTCTGAGGCAGTCCCAAGTAGCCAGTGCTTTTGGCACACCCCAGTTTAAGGAGGAGGGGTGAGACTGGGGAGGGCATGTCCAGACAGGGCCTCTGGAGACCTACTGGCTGAAGTTGGAGGCCAGGAAGGCTGCCACCATTGTCAGACCCACAGCGACTCATTGTGTCCCCCACTCTGGGCCCTAGAGGCTCCCTCTGCCTCCTTCAAAAGCCAGAGCCCCTGAGCAGCGGCTAAGGGAGTCGAAATCGTGTTGGTTTTGATGAAACATATGTTGCTCCACAGAAGGCAGGATCTGTGTGGGCACGTTTGGAGATGGCTATCGCTGCCCAACACGGTCGGCCAACCGGCTGGAAAACAGCTGGGAGATAAGTCTGGCAGCGGCTGCTTATCTCTTGTCCACCTCCCGTTTCACACCGCCCCCGCCCCCAACACACAAGCCAGCAGAGCGCAGTTACGACCTACAAGGCTTTCTCGGGACCATAATGGGTGGCAGATGGCTAAGGGGGGCCAAGCATACAAAGGGGGCCGGGATTCCAACTTCGAACGAATCAACGATCGGCCCGGGCACAGCGCAGCCCCGCACTGCCGGAAGAACCACGGCCGAGACTCCCGAGGTGTTAAGAAGGCTCAATTGTGCCTTCTTCTCCCATAATGACCCCTTGGCTGGCCAGGCTGGGTCGTCCGTGGCGCCCTGGAGAGTCTCAGTAAGGGCAAAGAGCTCGCGCTCAGGCCCGCAGGTGCCTCCTCTCCCGGGGCAAAAGCCGCGACTCGGCTCACACTCCAGGGCCAGGGTCTGCGCCTTCGAACGCGCCCGACCGGAGCGGACACGGACCGAGACCCGAGCGCAGACCCAGGGGACTGCGGGGACTGCGGGTTGCCCCGGGGGCTGGAGGAAACCGAGTCCCGGAGCTGCTCGTGAGCGGAGCCCTGCTCTGGGAGCAGAGGAAAACGACCAAGGCAGGAAGGGGAGCAGAGCCCCAGCGGCAGGGGTCGACGGACGCCAGGACCCTCGGCGTGTGCTCACCTGTTAGTGCCTCCTGGAGAGCGCCGCTGAAAACCTTTAGTCTCTGCTCGCTCACGCAGCCCCGGGTCCTCAGGAGGCTGGAGAGGAAGCCCACGGCGGCGGCGATCTCCGGAAGCATGTCTGTTCTCTTCCCGGTCCAGCGGGCCTGGCTCATGTCTTGCTCGGCTCAGGAGGCGGTGGCAGCGGCGGGGAGCAGCGAGAGGGAAATGTCCGGTGGGACGTGCCGCTTCTCAAGCTTCCTCTGTGCGCTGGGCCGCTGCTCGGGCTCTGCGGGGACTTTACCCGGGACGCGCCTTTCATACTATTCCGAGAGGCGGGGGAGCCCGCGCCAGCGCCCATTGGCTACTGCCAGAGGATGGGGGCGTGGCCTGACCCGCGCCTGGCCCCGCCCCGCGCGCTCCCGGGGCCGCGAGGCCGCTAGCCCCTGCCCCCGCCCCCGCCTCCGCCCCCGCCGCCTCCCCTGCGCTGAGGTCATCGCCCGCTGACGTCAGTGCTGGGAACCTGAGCCGGGCTTGCGGGCCGAGGGAGGCGCCGGGAGAAAAGGGGAGCCCGGGAGGGGCCGAAGCCTCTGGGCGGAGGAGTGCTGCGTCCAGTTCGCGGCCAGAATGCCTGGACCTCCTCTCCTCTCCGCCGGTCCTTCCAGATTTAGGTCACCGGCCACCTCCTCCAAGAAGCCTCCGCTGATAACACCTCTCTCTCCCACGCGGCCCCTTTTCTGGCTCCCACATTTTCCAACGCCCACGGTCAGAACCAATCACTCGGACGCTTTGTCACCTTTTAACCGCTTTGCCCTGTTTGTTAAGTAGGTTTCTCTCGGCTCTTCGGAAATGTGGACCAAGTCTTGTGTTTACTTAGGCAATAATCCCGTCTCCCCCAAACATGTCCTGCCCTTCCTCTGCACCGATGCCTTTTCTCTTGCCTGCTAGCATCCAAGTCTTACCTGTTTGAGGCGGAAGGGTGGGAGCAGTGTTGCAAGACTTTTCTGTCCCCGCAAGTTATTTTTCTAGTCTCGCCTTCCTTTGAATGCCAAAATTTTTGAATAAGTGGTCTGCTCTCAACTGCACACATTTTCCTGGCCACTCCCTTTTCCTCCTCCTCCCCTCTTCCCCCAGCCCTCCCTCATGTCCTTCCTCCTTGTGGATTGAAGCTTTTGTAAACACGGGCTCTTGCGGGAAAGAACCCAGCCTCAGTGTCCGAGGTCCACATATGCAGGACCGTCAGGACCTGACCCGGTCACAGGCGCTGGGCAGATGTCCACTGGATGGGCAGAGAACTTCGAACCCACATCCCGGAGTCTGGCATACGTGGGTGCCCCATATATATTTGTTAAATGAGTCAAACCCAGTGGCCTCTGTAAATTCTCACTTTCCTTGGACTCTGGGCCCTGCTGACCACCTCAGGAAGCAGTTTCTCCTCCTTTTCAGGGGCACCTGGCACCAGGCTTCTCAGCCTCCTTCCCCTGCTGTGTCCGCCTGGACCCCTTCTTGCCCCTGTTCCCTCTCTGTGGCCCTTCCCTCCTCTCCCTGTTCTCTCCACTTGCCTTCCTCACAGAAACCCAATCATGTCGTCCACTCTGCTCACTTTTTCACAACTGACTTTCGAATCTGCATAGTCTTGTCCTGGTGTCCTTTCATCCTGCTGCTCCCCCCACCTGCTCTCTCCGGCCCCGTGGGTGTCCAGCCACCAGCTCAGTGTCAGTCTAAGCCCACGGTCTTTTCCAGCTCCCTTCCTGATGTCCATGGCTGTCAGAGATGCCTTCCCTTCCCCAGGCACTCCGCCCTGAAAGCTCACACTCACTTCTGACTTCTTGTACTTGGCTCCTCAGATCTGGCCCCAAGACCAGTTGCTTCTTCGTATCTAGATGACTGCAGTAGACTTGTCACACGCCATCCCCAAATGACCCTTCCTGCTGTTGGCAGAGTTGCATTCCAACAGGTCTGCATTCACTTGCTCTTTAGCTCAGATCATTCTGAGGCACCCTCCACCCCCATTCGTCTGGACTCCTTTGCCTAATGTTAAGATCTTTCAGAATTTGGCCCCATCCACCTTTTTAGGTTTCTGCCACTTTGTGCTCTAGGCTCATCCTCCTTGCTGTTCTCTAAGCATCAGGCTCTGCAGCCCAGAGCCCCCAGCATTTTGCCCGTGATCCCCAGCCCTGCCTGTAACATAGCCCCCGTTCCAGGTGTGCCTGAATGTGCCGGGCTCTGCTGCACTGTGGCTCATGCCATTCTGCCCTGGACACCTCGCTGCCTCCTTCTCACCTCTCCCAAACCCCCACACTCCCAAAGGCCCAGCTGAAGCTTGGTCTTCCACTCTCAAAATCCGCACCGACCATTCTCCCACTACAGAATTAATGGTATCCATACCATTTATGTGGCACTCATAATCTGTGGTTTGGTGTTATTAGGGGTATTTTTAGAGGTTGACATCTTATCGCAACAACCGTCTGCAGGCTGCTTGAAAACAGGTTACTATACTCATTTGTCCTACATTTGTCCAGGGCAGTTTAGATTTCAAATATTCTACTCCAATGCTTCATATGGCCCATGAAGACGCACTGGAACACATCTCTTTAGATGGCCCCTTCGCCAGCTTCTCCCCGAAGCTGGATGAGGCCCGATGAAACCCTCACCTCCGCTTGCTGAGAGGAAAACGCTGTGTTACAGAAAACAGGGTTGGAAATGGAAACAGGATCACCTCTGCTGCAACATCTAGACAGACCAGGTGTCGCCCAGGCCAGAACTGTCCAAGGTCCACCGCCAAGGAAGGCAGGGGAACGGGTCAAAGTATAGACAGGGTGGTTCGGCACCTGAATCTGAAAATACTTAACATCTTCCTGGGTGTGTCTTCGACAGGGGCTGGGTGTTCTGGGCCTTGCTTTTATCTAGAACTGGTGCAAAAAAAAAAAAAAAGTATTTTGACAGACTGCCTGTTTTTGTTTTGTTTTGTTGTTTTGGGTTTTTGGTTTTTTTGTTTTTTGTTTTTTGTTTTTTGTTTTTGTTTTTTTGGTTTTTTTTTTTGCCTTAGGAAGTAGAACTCTGTCCTTATGTAGATTTTTGTATCACTCACCAAGTCACACAGCTAGTTCTCAACAGAGCCAGGACCAGATCTGTTGACTTCAAATATGGTGCGCTTTTCATTGGCCCATGGAGTCCCTGGGCGGTTGTTACAGGGGAATGGTCCCCAGTTCTGTGGTCAGTTCCCCTGACTTCCCTGCCCCGTTCCCCTGACTTCCTTGGTGGTGGACCTTGGACAGTTCTGGCCTGGGCGACACCTGATCTCTCTAGTGCTGTCATTCCAGAGGACGGTGCAACAACATGAGGCGAACTGTTCTGCATTGCTCAGGATGTGTCTTCGCCTCCTTGTTGGTGATGACGTACCTCGTGTAGGGCATCGGTAAGAACCAGAAGACACTCCCCTGACTTTTCTAGTCTCTTTTCTTTCTACTCACAAGCCTCGGGAGAGGAGGCTGAGGTATCCCACATTCAAAGTTTCCGAGTCACTGTGCAGTGTAGTTGTGACCAACTGAGGATTTGGATTCTCACTCAGTTTCCTTTTTTTTTTTTTCAGTGTATTTATTTATTTTGAGAGAGAGGGGGTAAGAGGGGGAGAGGGGCAGATGGAGAGAGAGAGAGAGAGAGAGAGAGAGAGAGAGAGAGAGAATCCCAAGAAGGCTTCACGCTCAGCGCGGAACCCGAGGAGGGGTTTGCTCCCACAAATCACAGGATCATGACCTGCGCCGAAACCAAGAGTTGGACGCTTAACAACTGAACCACTCAGCCACCCAGGCACCCCCTCGATCAGCTTCTTATCAGGGCAAATACATTACAGTAGTCCAATTTTTTTTTTTTAATTTCCAAAGCTGCCCTTCAGTTGCTAGGATCAGGATCCTTACGAGCTCAAAAGTCCTGATTTCACTTCTTCCCTTTGCATGTTGCCTGCTGCCTCTCTTTCCTTGGCATGGTCCAGGTGTAATTTGAGCATCAGGATAAAGGCAGCGGGTCCCTCCCTCCCCCCCTCCTCTTCTTCCTCCTCTTCGTCTTCATTCATTTCTTTCCTCTCCACCCAAGGGCCTCAGGTTGAATTTTGAACATGAAATGTCCTGATACACTGTGCTAACCTGTGACGCCACCCATTGCCAAGTGGGCAGGTAGTGGTGGGGGTGGAGGCGGACCTCAGTCTATGCCTCATCTGGACCAGAAACTTCGGTGCCATGTGATCCCGACCCACTGACTCCCCTGGTCCTGGATGCCCACTTGCACGGGGCACCTATGTGACTTACTGTAGAGTGACACACAGCATCCCACCCCGCCCTGCTCAGATCAAATCCCCCCTCCCCCCCCCACCAGGACGGGGTCCCTCTCCTCAGGCCTCAGCTTGTCTGGGGGGGGGGTCCTGACAGGCCTTGCTCTCCACTCATTCCCCAGTCAGGAACAGCCAGATCGTTGTTGAGGACTCTTGTCTTTCCCAGTGTCCTGTTAGGCCTTCAAGGCCTTGGCTTGATTGCCAAGGTTACCTCTCAGTTTCCTGACCCCACGTGGAACTCTGAGGTTGAGCAAAGCCGATCTGCTGGCAGAGGCTGGGCTGAGGTATTCTAGGGGGATGACATCAGCTCACTCCCACCCCGTGCAGCGTGTAGTTCTTATAGGTGTGTGTGTGTGTGTGTGTGTGTGTGTGTGTGTGTGTGTGTCAGTGTGGATAGGGAGGGCAGCATAACTATTTGAATGAGTATATACTTCAGTGTGTCGTGTGCTCTGATGCTTGAGGGTAGGAGGGAATACAGATACGTGTTCGTAGATGTTCAAACGCACTTATGACAATATATATATTGAGGAACGTCACTTCGTGAAGTGTGGATGTTTTGGTGGAGTGTGTGTTTTGGCGGGGAGAGTATATTTGGCGGGGTAGGTCTGAGCGTGGCTGGTACAGATGCTAATTTGATCTTTCCTCTCTTCAAGCTTCATTGGTGACAGCCCCGCTCTGCTGCCCAGAGCCGATAAGAAACACCACCCAGGGAGGACGAGACGCCTCTTCCTCACTTCCTAATCAGGGCGCAAATACTGCCAAACATATTCACAACCGTCTGCAATGTCGCTGGGTAATGTCCAGACGTCTTTTAGGGTCCCCTGCCATCTTCTCACAAAGTTATCTCTCAAGAGCAGCTCGAGGCCGGCCAGTCTGGGGGTTATTCTTTACAATGAGAAGCGGGCGACGAAGACAGAAGAAAATGACATTGTCCTTCAAACCTGTTAACAAAGCCTGCGTGAAAGCGAGGGTGTCAGCCCTT